CTTGGAGGGTGACCTTTTTTCCTGGGCACTTTTTCTTAATACGGAGCTAAAGCAAAGGCGTTTTTGAGAGACGTAGGTCAACCGGAAGCGAAGAATATGCCTTGAAGTTATGAAATTTGTATTGCAATTTTCTTTACACTTGTAGAGACGATTTAACTGAAAATTTGGGAAAACCACTGCTCATGAAATTAAAAAGTCCACTTCCGGTTAACGTCCGTCGCTCAAAAACACCTTTACTTAAGTTCCTTTTAATATTAAAATATTAAAATATTTAAGTGGCCCAAGGGGTCTGGTAATTCAATTATTTGTATCATCGAGGAGAGGAAACGCGCATAAGAAACGTTATAGTGAGGAGAAGAAAAATGTACTTGTTCCATCGAAGTCTGCTTTCAAGTCAAAGGTCCGAAAAGGGGAAATACGTTGAAAGGGAACAAGTGATATACCCGAAAATGTTCCGTGTTTTTTATTAGACAGTTAATTTCAATCATAAATTAATAAAGCCTGAAATTAAGGTGGTGTCTTTAATTGTCTGAGATTTTTGAATGCTTGGCTGTTGGATTGTTTTCGTTTATAAAGAAAAATTATAAAGCGAATCTGAAAAGATTTCAACAAGAGTTACTTTTCTTTCAAGTTACCGACCTGTTTCATATGAGATAGAGCCTGAAAAGCCTCTTTTAAGCAAACTGGAATGATTTAGGTTTCCTTGATTGTTTTCGTTTATAAAGAAAAAATATAGAGCGAAACTGGAAATTTAAACTAGAGAGTTGCTTTTCTTTCAGGTTACCAACCTGTTTCCTGCTGAAATCGTTAGATGTGTTGCATTAATATCAAGACTGAAGAGCCTCTTTCAAGCAAACTGGTATGATTTAGGCTTCCTTCTTTAAAAGTGATTAAATTCAGGAAAAGCAAATAGTCCACCACCATACACTGACCATAACAAAGTGCTATGAGACTTTATGCAGCTCTCTTGTAAAAGACTATTGTGCAGCTTTGACCCTGCTCTATTGAAATAATCATTACTTTGTCGAAGAGGAAAAACGTTACTGGGACTGAATTCAGTTACATAAAATGGAGGCTTCCCTTCTTCTTGATCCTCCGGCCAACGGCAATGACGAAAGTAACGTTAAAAAAATCCCGATTTTGCCCGAATCGAAACCTAACGGGAACAATATATCACTGATCTGTTATTCTGAGACGTTTTTGTGTCGTATAAAACTGAGCCAAGCGCTATGGAAACGAATTTTTCAAGGTTCTCTTACTCTCCTCGCATATTTTGAATTCGCGACATCCTGTCAGAAAATCAAAGTTTGGTACATGCACAGTAACGGGATACGGTTCCTTTAAGCTAAGGCGTTTTTGAGCGATGTACGTCAACGGGAAGTGGACCTTTTACATTCCTGAGCAGTGGTTTTGTCCAAATTTTCAGTTAAATCGTCTCTTCAAGTGTAAAGAAACTAAACAATACAAATTTTATAGCGTCAAGGCATATTAACAGGGACGAGTCCTAACTTCCGGTTGATGTGCATCTCTCAAAAACGCCTTTGCTTAAAGTGCTACTACGACGAAAATTTTTGTTTTTGTTTCCGAGTTTTTTTAACATAAATCTTTTGTATATGTTCAAAATTATACAAATAGCGAAAAATTGGAACGATACTTGCGTACGGGGGCTGGAAATTTCCCACTGAAAAGTGCGTATATACCGTCCGCCATTACAAAGTTCGCAAAGCAATAGCCCGCGAGATCTCCGCAAAGCGGTCGTGCGTTTGACCACGTGATTTATGCACTGTGACGTAGAAACATCAACCAAAAGATTCGCATTTGGGAAAAGTTTGTGAGTTTAGAGCCTTTTAACAAGACGTTTAAGATGTCATCTCCGTCGGATTCCTCTTCCTGCACATCTGAAAGTGATCTAGAAAGTTTTACAGTTGACAGTTGTTTTACAGTTGGGAATTGTCTGAATTTGCGCCGTACGACGACAGTTGCGAACCCCTTGCTACCGAGGAAGAAGCCGCGGACTACAACGAAAGAGTTCATCGCCAAGAAGAAGAGGAACAACAGTTTCAGCGAAGATATTCGGGAGAGGTGCCAGCGAATTAATGGTATGGTATTATCATGGAATGTAGATTTATATTTTTATTTTCCAATTTCAACATACCCGTCGTTAAATCGTGCGCGTGGGGAACGCGACTGTGTGTTTTGTTTAAGTTTTCAATTTCGTTGCTATGTGATTAACTGTAGTCCTGATTTTATGCGATAGTTTTATTGAAGAGGTCAGACAATTAATAATTTTATACAGACGTATTTTTCTTGTGTTTGACGAATTTTTCACATTATTTTGCAGGTGTTCGTGCTCGAACTGCTCTGTCAGCCTTGTTACAAAAGCGCAGGAGTGCATTTGCTGCAAAGAGATCGTTCGCTGCGAAGAGGTCATGGAAGAAGCCATTGGAGACCGGACCTTATGCATAACCCTCCATCCAGGGTTTGAAAGCGTCTGCTTAAACCGCCACGTATTAGAAGTGGCTGCACTGGGCCTAAAAACGCGAGCTGGAAAGTCGTACACAACTGTTCGTGGGGAATCCGTTCGTGGGCAAAGCAACAAAAGTGATAATGAGTAAGTTGGGGTATTGTTGACTTTGTATCGGAACGATCGAACCGTACATAGCATTGAATAATTGATACATCTAAGCTTATCGCCGTGGACTGATCTCATAGAATCACATTTTTTATTTTCTTTATTGCCCCAACTGCTTATTTTTAAAAGGAGTATTTATTTATCTCCATCCAATCCCTCCTTGAATTAACAGTGATCTCATTTCTCTAACTAGATTCCTGAGGTCTGTGGCCTATCGCCAATTTACAAGACTGCTGTGGAGTTATATTGGTAGTTCCAGGCGATACCCCTTGCCCTGTTGTGCCTACAATAAAATCAGGAAACAATTTCCGAGTTAAAATGGCCATTATCGTGGATTCGAAGATGAAGAAAATGAATAATAAATGCACTGTAAATTGTAAATTGTAAATATCTTATTATCCACTCCCCACAGGGCTTTTCAGGGATAATTTACAACACTGGTTGGGGGACTTTGCCAGACTGCTTAAGGTGCAGTTTACAAGTACTGAAGGAATGAGTGATGATGCCCCCATACATGAGTGTGAAAGTGAGATAGACCACTACACCGGGCACTACGTGCCCTACTCTTTACGAAGAGTGTGTGGGTTCTTTAACGTCCCACAGATTTATTACATTGTGCAAGGGCTTGTGAGACGGGGCCTACGGTTTATCGTCCTTATCCGAGAAGACTAGAAAGTCTAACCATTTGCAGATGTTATTACAAAGGCAGCACTTTCTCCTCAGTTATTTAAAGACCCTGAGTGTTGGTCCGGCCGGGGTTTGAACCCACGGCCTCCCGCTCAGCAGACCGGCGCTCTCCCAACTGAGCTAACCGGGCGGCGGTTTGTTCTTGAAGAGTGTCATGTATGCCATTGGGGCCAAGAAGGACCTACAGTAGTTGCTTGAATACTTGTCCGTAAGCGCTCAATTTTATGGGCCAAACTTCAGAATTCTCAGCCACTTGCTCGCTTTTTGTTGAATGACAAACGTGCCCACCGTGTGAAGCCCTGTTCTTCTAGCGTTCAGTTAAACTCAAGTTTAGTGGCTGGGAATTCTGATGTTGCTCCAATTTTCATGTACACAAGTAATAAAAATTGAATCGAATTCAGCCTGAATTTAATTACAGTTTTAATGTGTCGTTTCTTTCTTTTCACTCGGCTCGCAGAGCACTGCAAAACTTAATAGCAGGTTACCTGCTGGAAACTTTCCCAGCAGGTCTGGTTGACTCTTCCAGACTTTTGTCTGGCTACAGTTTCTGCAGAAACTTTCTACGGTTAACAAGGTACCTGTCTGTGATACAGAAAGTTTGGGTTTTGAAAAGAAGCACAAGTGGCAGAACTGAAACAAAAGAAGAAGTTTGGAAAGGAAAACAATTCTCTTCGGTTCCTCTCGAATGTTTTTTCCTTGCAGATCGAACCTGTAAAAAATGATTGAAAGGAAATACTCATTTAATCATAGCATCTGAAATAATATAATAACAATAAAAAAATGATTATCATTTTTATTGTTTTTCTCAGGGTGTTGCCAGTTTTTCAACTTGTTGTAAACCTGGCTAATTGTGGGTTGGAATTTTATTCTCACATACATCCTGAAAAATGCTTTTTTATAACAATTCTGTTGATTGCACACATGACAACTTTGAGCCCTTAAGCTATCTAGCCCACCCCAACGATGCATAATTTATTACAAGTGGTTGAGTGGACAAACCAAACATTTTTAGGCTTGGGACTTCCAGTCTGTGGGCTGGCTATGCCTCTTCTTTTTTTTTTTTTTTACAATTCTTATCTGAGTAAATTAAAAAACAAATTTCATGTACTCTTGTTTCTAAATAGATCCTCTCATACTGGAAGTTAGTTTTAGGCCTAAATCACTTCCCAGAGGATACTTAGAGCTAAGATGTTAAAATGCAATAAATTTTGCATCTTTGTACCTTGGTTTCTGATGAGTCTTCACCGAGTCATCATCTTCCTTTAGTTTTTTATATACATCTTCGATTTCTTCAGCACTTCATGTAGGGTCTTCATCACACTCAAACTTCTCATACGCGTCGTCCTGCATTTCCTGCTCATCTTCTGATTCATCCTCTAGCCCTAACTCTGTCTCATTTGTTACTGGCCATGGATCAGTTTGAATAGCTTAAACAAATGGAATTAAAAAAATTCTATCACCATTAAAATTTTAATTATTCTTAAATAATCAAATATTGATAAAATATAATAAAAATATAAAGATAGGCAGTTATGCCTATATGACTCATCAACATCAATTATTGTTGACTCACCAGCATTCACCATCAGCAACTGCTTCGGCTCTTGTATGCTCTTAAAGGTTTCAACCCACTGATTTTGATTGGAGATTAACTTACTCTTCAGTCTTGTGACTTTGCCCCTTAACTGATTCGAGTCATCTCACTCCTCAGGGTTTTGCATGTTGTACAATTCCCAGCATTTCCAGTTGGAGTATCCTACAAAAAACAAACTTTCAACATTAATACAGGCTGTAATAACAAGACTTTAGAATTTTTGTGTTTTAGTATTGTTGTAAAATAACTGCACATGTAGTTTTCCATTGTTATGATAATACAAAGATGCAAATAAACATTAATTAGAGTTATGCGCCTACCACAGAAACCTGTTCAAGTTCAGGAATCGTTAATGATTCATCAATCTGCATAACTTCATCCATATCCTGCACCTGTTCGATTCCCTGAGCCTCCAGGATCTGCATGGTCTCAGTAACCTCATCAGTGCCTGAAATCCCTTGGCTCTCGAGAGCTGTCTTATCACCAGGAGTACCTAGGACCTCTGAAGCCATCTCAGCATCAACATTTATCTCACCCGTCTCAGTCTCAGGGATGCAGCCCTCCTTTTCAGGATTTACCTCAAGCAAAGAACCCTGACTTGTATTCAGAACACCCTCGACTTCTGAAGACTCCTCAGGGTTGAGATTGGGAGCCCCCATAGTGTCAGCACTCTTCTCAGGTGCAGAACTTCCTTTCAAAGAGATCACCTCTTCTTCAGGATTGTCTTCTTCCTCTGTACCCTCATTAGTAGTTTGACCAGCCAAAATTCCATTTAGTAGCTAAAAATGAAAATAGGTACGACCATCTTTTATATCTCCCCTTCAAAATAAGTTTAAATTTGAGCTTTATGTCGATGTTTTCAAAACTAGAAATGGAAGCAAGGTTTAACCACATCTTTGCCTTAAAATGTATGCATAATTTGCAGACAGTGAAAATAGAATTAAAATACAAACGAAAAAAAAACCCGCAAACATGGACACGAAATTTGATCTAACGCTTTAAGCTTTCCACACCTAATAACACATCTACTTATCTTGCTAACTGTACAAATTTATCATTAAAGAACATATATCCCAATCAAAGGTGGGATATATTTTGGCCCCCCGCCTCCCCATTTACCCCCTAAACTATACAGTGAAACCTCTATTAAGCGGACACTAAACCCGGGTCCCGAAATTAACGTCTTATATTTCCCTATATAACGAACCCCTATTCAGCGGACACCTCTATCGAGCGGCTAATTTCTATTGTTAGAAACCTCTATTAAGCGGACAACGGACTGAATTGACAATAGTAGTATTAGATTTCATACTTGAAATACGTAGTGAAGTCTGTTAATTTTATGGCATTTACAAACAAATGAAAGTTGGTGATGAAAGGTAATGAACTTGAACTCCGGATAGCTTCTTTAACAACATGCAACTTTATCACAGTACAGAGTAACCGCTGAATGTTAATCGTTAACAAACACTGCGCAATTTTTACAACCTCTATTAAGCGGACACTTGGGAAGGTCTCGAAGTTTTAATAGAGGTTTCACTGTAGTTGGGTTGTTTGTTGTTCCCCACAGACAGCTTAAACAGTGGCACAACATTGTTAGAGGGGGTGGGAGAGGGAAAGCTTGTTTTTCCCCGTGAATGTCTAATACTGGCTTGCGTGAGAAATGTCGTTAGGGACAAGTGTCTCATACAGCTAAGTTTGTCTCTGATTTTAGTTTGGTTTTAAAATGTTTTTTTTTTTGACGCGTATTTACCACTATATGACAAAAATATGACATGGATTTAGACTGGTGATAACGATCTGAAGTAATTCTGATAAAAATTACTTACTTCCACACTATAAAGCTTATTAGAAGAAACGTTGTATTCCTTCCATTCCAATTCATTCAGTTCTTCTTCAAGGTTCTCGTTTTCTCGAACCGTTGGCATTGGCGCTTTAGTCTGGCTTAAAACATTTTCCTCCAGGGTCCGGTGTAAAGGGTTTAAGTCTCCAATCTGCCCCGCGTTTTTAATTTTTACTGAACGTAAGAATATGAACGCGAAGCAAATAAGTAAGGCAAATGCAATTTTCCTTTTATGCTTGTTAATACCACGATAAACTCCATGTATCCAAGTAGATTGACTGCTGTGTATAGAAATCATAGATATTATATTCCCTCTCGTATGAATATTATAATCTTTTCTCGTAAACTGATTTTAACAGTTCGCAGTGAATAAGAAACAATTTTGTTTATCCAGCAGTGTTCGAGGACGTGTATTTAATATTCTGTGAATTTTTAAACAAATTAACTAACAAGTAAAGACCTTCGCTTTTGTTTTGTTCCGTTCTATTAAACATCTGTAATTGACAAACTAACTTGGGATACTTTCGAACTGAAAAATCTTTCATTTCTTCGTAATCCTATTTCGTTCAAATGTTAGAATTCGAAATAAAGATAGAAGTGCCTGAACGCAGTGATCAGCATAAATTTTCTCTTAACATTATATCCGGCCGTCAATGCATAATTAAAAGAAAAAGTTACAATGATCACCAAGGGAGAAATGATTTGATCTTATTAAGAGGGAATCCATCAGGAAATTGAGTAATTTTAATATTCAGTGGACAAAAACCTTGTACCAGAATAATTTAAAGCATATTGCATTCTTTTTTACATTTTTCAAGGGCTAAAGATGTAATTAATCATCTTTAATAACACCAAAGAAAATTTCTAATCGGCGCCCGAGAAAATGAACGCCAAATTTCACAAAATTACACCTTACACATTGACTTTTAAGAATTTTACCTTTGTTTTTACAATTCTTGTGAAATTTGACATTCATTTTCTCGGAATCCCACGAGCAATTTTCTTTGGTGTTATTACAGATGACTAATTACATCTTGACCCCTTGAAAAAATGTAAAAAAAGCAGGCAATATTCTTTAAATTATTGTGGTACAAGGTTTTTGTCCACTGAAAGTTAAAGTTACTCATTTTCCTGGTGGATTCCGTCTTAAGTTCTCTCAACTAATTATTCGACAAAACGCATGGAGATCGGTTTGGAGAATTTGGATGTGGATACTTTGGGGTTAAAGGATTAAAAAGTATGTTTGGGTCGAAAATTGAATTGATATCAATTCTTTTATCCTCAAACTTTATCTCCTCTTCTCCCCGTGCCAGTTACACAGGTTTCAATGAAAACATAGTAGTAGAATTGCACGGTATTACTATTATGCAGTTACTACCGACGAAATATTTTTGTAAGACGAATTAAAGATTTCAATTGCATAGTCGATGAAGCTACTGCGCTGAGGGTTAAAAGATCTTTCGGATTCGGAAGAATGGAGATTTTAACTTCCTTTCCTTAGTCAACTCATTTCTAAAGTTTCTTGTTTGATTAAAACGAATGAGGTAGATTCAACTGAATTTACAGTCAAAATCAACAGAAACAAGTATTAGTACTCAAGAAACCAACATAAACTTGTCCCAAACTACAGCACAGTGGAACCTGTATTAAGGAGACCCGATGTCAATCGCTGAGATACGAGCGTCAGTTATGTTACCCTTTTCGTCCCTTACTTTCTGTGAAACGAACATGTATTTAACTCTGGAACACTGCTCCCACGCGGGTATTTGCGAGGGTTTGCTTGACGTACGCTTTCTTTTGCACAACCGCATGCGAAGGAACTCGAGTAAGTGAGTGTTAAGCGTGCTAATTTTATTTTCACTTCTCCTTAAATCCAAGATCAATGGCTTGTTGTAACGGTTTGTCATACTGCAAAGTAAAAACCTCACCCCCGAAGATAAATATATTCTTTTCTGTATTTGTTAATTAATTTTTCATGCTTGTGCGGAAAAATTTATGTTTAGCATTTTAAAATTGAAAAATGAAGAAATTTTTCTGTCGCGCGTCTGTTGATGACTTATCAGTCTCTCGATGTTAATAATTTCAGGCTGACTATGTTTTATGATATGATCGAATCTCTAATACGCCCCGTGATCGATGAATTGTACACAGACTTTAGAATTTTCCAGAAGTCAGTTCTTTTCGCGCCCTCGTACACAGGAGCGAGGAACACTGGCTAGAAGTTAGTTACCAGTCCCTCCCTTAAATCTCGTTGCCTAAGAGATAATCGAAGTCAAATTTTAATCTGCCCTATTCCACTTAGATCATCACTATGAAAAAGTTGCAAAATATATATGAAGAAATTTCTGCAAGGAACATCCCAATGCTTGAGGAATCTACAGAGAAGCCGATATTTTGGTCAAAATTTTGAGCCGTAGTGCTCTAAGATTGTAGACTTCAATATTGTAAAATGTTAATCTACAATTCCAGTTTTCCTCTTTGATCAGCTGTGAAATATTTGCTCCGAACATTACTTGGGAAGATACATTAAGTTCCCTTTTAATCAAGCCATTTATGAACAGAAGAAGTTTTCACTTTGTGTGGTTGCTTTCTTTGGCTTGCCTATTAAATAGAACGGATGCATGACACTTTGAAATCATTATAATTACCTGAACATCACCAAACGCTCGTTTCTGATGATCGATATTGTTGCTATGCCGTGACTCGCCTTAATTGAAATAAAAAAGGTAAGAAATATTTCGATATGGAGTAAACTCAAAGACTATTATCAGCACTTGGACATTGCTTCCTTTTTCAAAGGAATATATTTTAACGTTACGCGCACGTTTTGAAGAAGTTCAAAGAAAATGAATGTAAACAGCCGACTTGCTTTTTTTGATTGAAAGGGAAATTAATGGGGTCTAAACAGCGCAAATTACTGAAAACGGATGATTTATGAAACATTTTGTAATATATAGATTTAGTGATAAATGCGGAATTTTCGTGCTTGTCGGGAATATACGAATGATAACTCTAGTCCTTGTGTAAACTTATTTCGGAGACATGTTCATCCCCGATGAGAATCCAACAGGTGCATTTGTGTTCATTGATTGTGTTCTAATAATTCAGCTGCAGCAAAAATTACCATCAGATTATTCCGATGTAATTAGTATAATCAGCTGAGTCTTGAAGGTCAAGCCCTCGTGCTCAGTGAAACGCTGTAGACATTCGCAGAAACACAAAACGTGTCTGATCAGTGCGAATGCCATGGGGAAGATAAAAGTTTTCCTCTGCTTCCCAGTTTTCTTTTTTGGAATTTGTCAGTTTGTGTCATCCCAAGACTGGCTTGATGTATCCAAAACAGAACTCCTGAAGTTAAGAAATCAATTCCTATCTTTTGACAACAAGAAATCGGATATACTTTTTCTGATCGACACGTCGGGCAGTTTACGCGGCAGCGACTTTAATGAGGAAAAAAAATTCGTGACAAATTTACTGAACGAAATAAGTGTAGGTATGGAAGCCACCCGTGTTGAGGTGATTCCGTTTGGAGAACAAGCTACCATATTCGTAGATTATGTTTCCGTCCCTAACCTGGCAAACACGAAGTGCACATTCAACGAGAAATTTAATCCGATGCCTCACAGCATCAATGGGTGGATGACTAATATGAAGGGCGCCTTTCAACTGGCCTACGATGTCTGCCTTGGAAGGTTAAGCGGTCAGAAAAGAGGCCCCCTAAACAAGTTGAAAACCGTCGTTATTCTTCTCACAGATGGGTATTGGAATTGGCCTTATCGTGATCCGGACCCAACCAACATTGCCAAGCAGCTTATAGCAGGAAACGTGGAGATCTTTGCTATTGGCGTTGGAAGGGTTAATTTTCCCGCACTTCAAGGACTTGTTAAGGACAAAAATAAGCACGCTTTCTATCTGAATAACTTCGATCAGTTTGCGGAGCTTGCCACGTACCTGAGAGGGGGTAAGAAAACTTAAATAAAATTTCTTAACTTTTCTATTTTCTAAGGTCTGGTTGTCAGTCGAAATAAGGGCTTTAGAAGCAGTTTGAGATATTCGTTTTTTCCCTTGATGATGAGATGATGTTCCCTTTACCCACATTAGAATGTTATGTTAAAGAAGCTGAGCCACGAATTTCATCAAAATTCTAACCGTAGGAACTGTCACCAAATTGAGTGAAACATAAAAAAATAATAGCGAAAAACATTAAAAGAAGAAATTAATAACACAGCAAATACAAAAGTAGGCACGGTTGGACAAACATGAAGAAGATTAAAACGGATTGAAGTTGTGGGTTTTTTTAAAACTTGTTAGCCTAACAGTTTTTCAAAGTTCATTTTCATTGTTTGTAATGTTTGGTACAATGCTTGGGAATTATATTTGTTGGACAAGAAGCCGTGATTTCATCGTTTACAAGAAAAATTCTTCTTCCGGTAAACGTTAAGTTTCATGGCACATAAGGAAGCGCAGCCGTGACACAGCCCCTTGAAACGTTCAGGACGAGTTAAGATTTTCAGCAGACATTCTCCACCCTTGCATTTATTTTACTGAACTGTGACTATCCGGACAACGTTATTTTTTATACCGAAAGGAAAAGAAAACAAAAACAACAACAACAACAAGGAAATGTCCACCCCATGCCCCTTGTATAGTTACATTACGTTGATCAATCTTGTTAGCAAGTAAGTTGATAAAGAAAAAGGTTCTTGTGCCTAACCACACATGTATCCAAATTACCAGAAAAAAATCATATCTTGAAGGAAATTATCACATGTACTTGAATTCTTAAGAGAGAAGTGTTTTACTTGTTAAATTCAAAGTCGTTTTATTTTATTACTGATCAGAACTAAATTTATAATAAAGTCTACGAGTCCTCATCTTCTACGTTCGCAGGATTTTGATCAACTTTCGAGGCTTGGAAGGAGCTGTCGTAAAAATGATCAGCAATGTTTAGTTGATTGGCTCAGTGACGCGGTAATCAGAATGATATGCAGGTCGAGCGCGGTTCTCTAATCAAAAGTTATCATATGCAAATTCCCTTCAGGTTGGCGGCAAATCTTAAAAAACTTCCAGGGTGAAATTTCTCAGGATTCTAGTCCCCGCGAAAATTCCTTCAATCTCGCAACTAACACAAAATCAACGAGGCAGTTAAGTGCAAACTAGAAACGGCAATCACGCACCCATGCTTTTATTGCAACACAACCCGCCAATATATTTTCAGATCTCTTATCAGTGCTCATTCTTATTACGAACGTAGAAGCTGAGGACTTGGAGACTTTATTAAGACTCCGAAAATGGATAGACTTGTCGTACATGTAATCGTATGCGAGTGACTGTACCTTGTGCTTATCGCTTTAGCTGGTGAATGGAGACGAGCACTCGTTACTTTAGCCATGGCGTTGCTGAGTATACTCGAGTGTGGGCTAAAAATGTCTACTTTTTACTTAGCATCTAGATCATAAATTTCTATCTCTGTGCTCAAGAAGCCTATTGTTTTCAATTCCTTCCAAATTTTGAGCTGATGCTTTCAAAGCGAGTCAGATAAGCCTGCGACCTTTATATAGAAAACCACATTAGTTTGTAGCCTTTGATTATAATTTAGTTTATTTATAAAGTAAATACCAGCATAAACAGTTTAGCATAGCTTTGAAGTCAAGAGTTCTTTTACTTCAAAACTTCCAATATTGTTTTAGTGGAGAAAATATGCGTAGAGACGTTAATTATTCTTTCATTGTTCTTCTTATTATTCTTGTCTTTAGATCCGTATGAATATAAATGGCAAACGAAAACAGTGAGTCCCAGCAAATGTAACAACAACTGCGACCCAATAGCAGCTTGCGCATGCGGTTTAGTGTACGGAGACTACAAATGCGCATGCCCCACTGGAATGGCGGGCTCAGGATACGTGGGACAATGCACTCGTAAGTGTATAGATCGGAAATGGCGTAAGATATGGTTACACAGGCTCGATCATCACCTGACTTTTGTGTGCTTATTTTGTTCGTGTCTTTGTTTTTCTGAATCTCGTTCATATACCAACACAAAATTCAAGGTGATTGATGACCACCCATTCGAAAAAGTGACTTCTTACCCCTATGCCAAAACGTATATTTAGCGATTCAATCACACTTGTCCAGAACACATTCTTATATGTTATTGAAATGACTGACGTCAAAATGTTTAAAACTCCAGCGGGAATAAAAGCCAAAGGCGAGTGGTTTCATTCAAAAGCCCTAAGTCTCCTTCGATAAAAGAATCAAAAGTTTTTAGTGACCCCTGCAATGTTCTTTGAGTCTCCTCATTCCACTACGTATCGTTACAAGCAGTATCACAAAATGAACAGCTTGCTTATAGTATGTACTCTCTTGTTTGATTTCAATTCTTAAATGATAGCAGGGATTTTTTTTGTTTCTTCTACTTACGTCTCGTTTTTACGTGCTTGGTTGTCTTTGTTGTTTGTTTAACATTATGCCCACCATCAACACACAGTAAAAAGTTCTTATTCCATCTGACTAATTTCTTGCTTTTGTTTTGTTTTTTTTCTTCTACTTGCGTCTCGTTTTTACGTGCTTGGTTGTCTTTGTTGTTTGTTTAACATTATGCCCACCATCAACGCACAGTAAAAAGTTCTTATTCCACCTGACTAATTTCTTGCTTTTGTTTTGCTTTTTTTCTTTGATTCTTTGTTTGTTTAACAGAATGCCCACCATCAACGTACAAGAATTTCACTGGCTTTGCTAAAAACTGTTATCCTTGTCCAGCTAACTCTGGGCACACAAAAACAGGAAGCACATCTATACTGGATTGCAAATGTTTTGAAGGTTACAAAGGAAATCCCCATAATGGACAAGACTGCTCAAGTAAGAGAACTGGTCATCTGTAAACTATGATAACAGATAAAATAATAATAATAATAATAATAATAATAATAATGATAAATAAATGATCCTTTACTTTTGGGAAACACAAAGGCTAAACTAGATAGCGAAACTAACAAGTTATAATAATTTTTAGATTTTTGGGGGGATGCCGAAAGCTATTAGGAAATTAAAGCTAATCAACCAGCAAAACCGTCATTGATTTGCTTTCCTAATACTCTCAGAAACAGTTCAGTTTTAACAGATGACTTGTTTCTCAAGTATTTGGGCATTTTAGTACGAACTTGAATTTAGCTGATTCAACTGAGGTACCGTATCGAACGATCACACCCGGAACACAATGCTAGCAAGGACAAATATGATACCCTGTTTAAGGGTCGATACCATAGTTAACATATCGGGCGGCACATATCTATCTAGCCCATAGGGGAGTACAGCTCCCCCCCCCCCCCACCCACAATTTCCTCCGATCGCATGGCATACAAGATTTATTAAATAGCGTGTTTCCTCCAAGAAATTCAGCACTTTTTAACGTAGATTTGATAAAGATAATTAATAACAGTCGGATTTTTTGAATAACAATGGCTTATCAAGACCTCTTTCACATTCTAAGCTTGTCAAAGCCCAGAAAAGTATAAACAAGCAGATTATTCCACCTTTGGTTTCTCTTTCGTGACTTCCTGTAAGATGTCCAACAGGCCTATGCTTGTAACTTGCCCGGCAACTTGCTAACCCTTTTACTCCCCCTGTGAACGACGGAGTGTTACAAGGTGGTTTTGATTTCAGTGGATAAAGTTCTGTGGTTTTACCGTTCAAATAAATCCTCCTCAGCAGGATGTTCACATGGTACTATATATTAACTATGTAGTTCTAATTGTTGAACCTGTGGATCAAATCCTATGGCGTTACCATTCAAATAAAACCTCTTCAGCAGTACGTTCACATGACACTATTTATTAAGTATGTAGTGGTAACTTTTGAGCCCGTGGATTGAATCCTATAGTGTTACCATTCAAACGGAACCTCTTCAGGAGTACTTTTACATGCAACGTTTTTTTTAGTGTGTAGTTCTAACTTTTGAGCCTGTGGATGGAACCTGTGGTGTTCAGTATCTTTTCAATGAAACCTCTTTGGCATTACCTTTACTTTTTAAAATTTGGGGGTGAAAGGGTGAAATATTATACATCAATTAAAGGAGCTGTGGCGCGACATTGGGATCATGATACGTTTTGGAAACTCCCCACCTACTCCTCCCCTAAGCCAAACTTAACACTTTCTTGTCACTTTGGGAAAAATGTTGGTTTAGGGAAGGGGTAGGTGGGCAGTTTCCCAGAAACGTATAAGGATCCCGAAAGGTATCAAAATTCAAACATTGGGAACTTGGTGCCACCAAATGGAGTGAAACGAACGTATGAATAACACAGCAAATACAACAGGAGACAGGGATGGAGGAACTTGAAGAAGACAGAAACGGAATCGGCAATTTTGCTTTTTGAAAACATATTAGCCTGACAGTTTTTCAAAGTTCATTCATCGTTTTGTTGTTTGCGTCGTTGAAAAACATGCTTGGGAGACATATTTGCTTGACACGTTCTCGGCTGTGATTTGTCATTCTCAAGTAATTTGTCAATTTTCGTAGCGAGTAAAGACGTGTGATTGGTAGTTATTAAAAAGTGAACTAGACTAGACAAGACAACTGTGACACAGCCTCTTTGCACAGAACATACAGTTTATTACCTTCACTATTCGTTGTGATCTTTTTTGTTAACAGTCCGCTATTGCGAGGAGCTGGAAATACCTAAAAATGGAAAGAAAAAAGGTGGTAGTTGCGGCCGAGCGTACCAAGCAATCTGCGAGTTTGAGTGTAATGAGGGATATGAAATGAAAGGGTCCGCCAGTCGGCAGTGTACTGTAAAAGACCCCAACGGAGTAAATTTAATGCAATGGAGCGGGACGCCTACCAAATGTGAAGGTTAGTTAATAATTTATGATAATTATAACAATTTACTAATTTGCTATTGCGCCTTTTAACCTAAAAATGATCAAAAGCGCTTTTCATTGTCTACCGTTATACTAGTTAAAATTTATAATATATACAACCGATAAAAAAGAAAAATGCTCATAAAAGTACATAAATATAATGAAAGTGAAATAAAATAATAGATGTGTCTTTCACGGATATGCGTTTGAAGGCTGTTCCACAATGTAGGGGCGGCAGCGTAAACGATCTAGCGCCTAAAGTTGTTCGCATGCGCTGCTTAGGACGTTCTAAAACAATAGTGTAATTCGATCTTAATGAATATGCAGAACAGGACCTAACTGCCCACCTACCCCTCCCCTAAGCCAACATTAACACTTATTTCTCGCTTAGGGAAAAATGTTGGCTTATTGGAGGGGTAGATGGGTAGTTTCTCAGATGCGTATAATAATCCATGCTAACTAAATCGCTAATGTAGCTAGTTGACCTTAAAAGCAATGATTGAAATTTTAGTTTATAGTGGCACAACCCGCGAGCAAAGCCCTATGAAAAGGAGGCTCAGCATGAAACGGGTAACACCTTGAAGTGGTCAATACCCAAGCGTTTGGACCAATCAATCTTGTTCTGTATTGTCAAACTGAATTTCCCAGTGCCAGCATCCGGTAATCGATAAACCGCTGGTCGTAACTTATCATGAGTTGCCGTAGTAAGCGCACAGGTAGTAGACCTAGGCTTGAAACTGTATCCCGGTAACAAGCAGCACACGCGCAACAAAGATCTTACTCAATAGTTCATTACCACATGAAAGATTTGTAATAAAGAAACAAGACACTGTGGGAGCGTACATTTGGGCATCGAAGTACTATGCGTGTGTGATGTTTTTTTTTTACTTGTGTTAGGGAAGTGTGAGTAGCTCAGTTACCTTGCATATTTTAGGGGTTGGTTGAGATGTTATATTAGACGTCGCAGATTGGTAAGATAATGGCTGTAGTTTGTTAATCAGTGAAACTGGTTTCTCATAGAATTTAATATGAAGTAACAAAAAATGATTTTTTTTGGGAAGGTGAAAGATTTTAGGTGTTGCAGTGAAGTATTTATGGGAGTGCTTATTTGGTTATGAAGGGATAGTGTAGTTATAGTCTGTTTTAATGACGTGGTGGTTGTGAAAGATCTTATCAATAGTAGAAAACATGCGTGTTCTTATTTTAAACATTGCTAGGCTTTCTGTTTAGGATTTTTTTCGGTCGATTTTTTATGTTTGTATGCAGAGAACGTGGATAGAGGAAAGTTCATTTAATATAGAGAAGGGGTTATGAAGATATTGAGAGGGTGGGGCTGAAATTTTTTGTGTTTTCGGGGACTTTGAAAATTTGGTTAGGTCAAGTTGGAGGGCGTAAAATCTTGCTATAGAACTTAGGGCCCGATTACATCAACCGGGGCTGGCTTGCTTTGCAGAGATCTTGGCATCTTAGTTAAACTCAACAAAAATCAACTTTGCGATTATATAACAAGCGGGCTAGTCCGCCGGTTAGCTAGGATCCCAGTATTGTGACGCCGGGATCCCGTGTGGGAATTTTCCAAGTAATCACGCTTGCTGAGCGGCCTGACGAATGAACCAAGCAAGAAACAGGACAGTGGGTAACACACTGCTCATGCGCATTGCTTCCAATCTCCATACAAAAATGGCGGCTCACGGCTTGCCCTTTTCATGTAATAATGGGATAAAAGTCACCTCAGCAGAGCTAGCCAGCCCAGCAAACCGAACCAGCCCGGCTCATGTGATCAGGCCCTTACTGTGAGTTGTACTGTTACACGGTTTGCACGTAAAATCTTTGGAATTTGCCGCTTTCGTCGTCTGTGTATTAGAGAATATGACTTAATCTAATTAACCTAGGCGTCTAAAAATAACTGTCATGAACGCGGTTTGCACGTGAAAATGTTGGACTCTGCCCCTTTTAGGGTTCGAACGTGGAAGAATGCAACTTGTTTACGAGATCATTTTGCTCAATAAAATTTTAAGAAATCACCACCTTTCCGAAAATCTGCATTGCTTCATTCAATATTACCCTTATTTATCTCATGCATGGTCACGGAATTTTGCGTGACATCTTCTTTGGCTCTCGAAAACTGAGGGAAAAAATTTTGTCAAACTCTCGGCAATAAGCCATTGCTAGCAATGAAAAGTCTGTTTAATGAAAAAAGGCAATGACCGGTACCTATGGTCCGTGTTAGAAACACTCAAGCCGTGTGCTGCGAGGACAATTATTTTCTAAAGGAAAAATTTAAATTATTTAACAGTTTGTATCACTCGGTGTACCTTGTTTTTTCAATGCGTTTGTATTCTATTGCCGATATGTTTGCCGTGCATTAGCTGTGGGACGTATTGTAACGAGGATAAATGCTGTGTCGTGACACATCGCACCGCAGACTTTCGCGTCGATTGGCTTGTTTACTTAGCTTGTTTACGTTCGCACGTATTACGTGCCTATTGCAACTTTGAATCAAAACAAGCGATCTCGATTACTCTATTTGGGCGCCGCCAAAATAAAACGCTGCCCAACCATTGTGATTGGCCTCAGATGTATAGGCGACATCTTTAAAGTCCTGAGACCCGAGCAACGAGGCCTGGTAGGTCTGCAGAGAATATTATTTTAGGTTTTCATAAATATAGAGTAATGCCTGAGCTCCTAGACCTTCGACAAAAGAATGACTGAGCGCGTAGTGCTTGGTCATCATTTTTAAGAAGGCCTCGTGAGCCAAAATTGTAAATACAGGTAAAATTAAGGATTCCAACAACGAGGGAAGAGTAACGCGTGTTGTAGTTTCGCTTTTTATTTGTTCTCTCTAGTTTTACCTTTTTGCCTTCTATGTTTTTATCTGAAAAGCTTTATGTACAATAGGCTATTTCTGAGTTGCTCCAAGCCTCTGTTTAAGGGCTTGTTTACATGGAGGTGGGGGACCTCAGGTCCGTGAGGTAACCCGCTTGGGTGGGGTAACCTGCCTGCCCATATAATCTCTCATTTTAATTCGATCACGTTTACATGATAGGTGGGGTAACCCGCCGCGAGTTACCTCACCTACCCCACCTCCATTTAAACGGGCCCTAAGAGCTAGGCTAAATGTGAGGCTATTGATATGAAAATGGTTTCTATTCTCATGCAAATAAAACTCACTTGCACCTAGGTTCGTTTTAAAAATGAGAGTTTTTAGTACTCGAAAATGGCCTATTCAAGTTTCAATTGTTGATTTCTCACTCTACCAGAGAAATTACCATATTAACTCTGCAAGGTTTGTGTATTCATTTATTCTGTATTCATTTGTTGTTTTTAGAGATAACTTGCCCCATACAATCAGTTACTTATGCGGATCCTACCACTGGTACATGCGTGGGAGCGGATGGTAAAACATCGGCTAACTATGCTTATAGAACAACGTGCACCTTTAAATGTCTGCAAGGTTACGATCGAATTGGTAGCGAGACAAACACATGTCAGCTGGACAAAACGTGGTCACCTTCTGCTCCGACCTGTAAAGGTATGCAGTTTATCACGGAGGGGGGCCATTACCTATCAGGGGCACCCAACGACGATTTCCCCCTAAATACGTTGAAAACACTTTTTAGGCCGTCCAGAGTATTTTTTAGATCTCTAGAGATACATTCTAAGCGGCGCTATAGAATTTGTATCTATTTGGTCATCCTAGGGACTTTAGATGCTATTTATCGCTTTCCGAATGTGAGAATTTTTTCTGATTCCCATCTCAATCACTTTTTTTAATCAGAACACTTTAGGTTTCTTCTTTCTACGCAAAACAGCATTACTCGGGGAGTGAAATGTGAAAAATTAAGCTTCGGAGAATCGTAGGGAATTTATTAGATAAGGTTCGAAAATTGTACATGAATGGAACGGTCATCTAGAAATTTGAAGTGGTCCTCAAGTAATAGAAAATTCTAGGCAATATTTGCTTCTCCGAACAGATATTTTTAACAGATTTCTATCTGGCACGTTTGATGAAGAAGCCAATTTAAATTAGCTTTAACTGTTGGATTTGAGGGATAGTTTAGTCTTCAGTGCAGACGTTCGTAGGGCTTCGTCACGCCCTCCTCCCTCACAGACGTTCGTGGCGCGGGAACGCGTGATGAAGCTGTCTTCGTCTGTGTTGGAGGCTAAGGATGGTTTTGCACCATCGCGAATATCCCCACCAGTGTGGTTTTGCACCATCGCGAATATTCCTACGCTTCCATCACAGAACAAAAGAAATGTTGGGAGTTGTTGGCTTTTGACCGGTTTCAAACTTTATATCTAAAAGGACGTTGTCCAACAATGGCCTCCGTTTGCACGGGGCTTAAGAACATGGCGGATCCCCACCAGTTTTATAATCATTTTAATCATTTTATAATGATCCTTTTTTTCTCATGTAAAAATCAGGCTCACTAACCAGAGCACCTCAAGTATGATTTTTCGTTTGGATTTTGTTTTTGAGAACAAATTAGCGTTTTTTTTTTTTTTGGAGTTTTTAAATACGCAAAAAATTTATTACATCTATGACTTGTATGCAAATTGCAATTAAAGATATAAGTGTGGATGTGAACCGCTTAGGTTGTGCCTTTAACTGCGAGGATCACATGCAAGTAAAAGGATTAATTCAGAAATGGCCAATAACCGTTTTTTAAATTTTGTTTTTCTAGAGGTTCGTTGTCCAGCGCTACCTACAGTGTCTATCGGTACGTACACTCCCGCAGACTGTGACGATGGCACGAAGCGTTTCTTTAGCACCTGTACGCTGGCATGCCCGGATGGGTATCACATTGCATATGGTCCTGAAACTTTGATATCTGACACAAGAAAATGTCAGCTGGATGGCACGTGGGAATACAGAGCAACAAGTCCAACATGTAAAGGTCAGGGAAATCTCCCTCTGTTTGTTCCCCCTCCGCGCCAAAAATTCTGCGTAAACTAGTGTTGTGTCCCAAAGAACTGCATACCGTTAATTGTCGCTTGTTATTTAGCCGGCGCTTATACATCTTGTTTAGGGGTTTTAGGAGATTGTACAAACGGAGGGGCTTATATCTGAACCGGGGGCTTATAACCGTATTTTAAAAAAAAACTACAAAACGCTTTAAAACAAGCTTTTGCAATGCTAATCAAAATACGTTTTGCATTTTCTTTATTTAATTAAGCTTAAAACGTCCTAATAAATCCAATTCACTTCAATACATTTGGAGGGGGACTAATAATCAGAAGCCTTTTTTGGGCAGGCAGATGGGCCTGTAACGAGGGGGCTTGTAAGATTGAGTCTACGGTATTCTTTAGAGCCTGGGAAATGCCGGCGACGTTTGTTCTGGACCTTTAGGAGCCGAAATTGAGATGTAAAAGGTGATCATACAACCTTTAACACACCAAGAATTTAAACGTTTTATTAGATAGCTTCTGAAACAATCCTGCAGTATTGCTAAGACTGATTTAGATCCAAATAAAAGCCTACTTCGAAACAAGAAAACTTACTGGGATTCCAAGGGGAACATTGAACAGAGTCGAACCTCCACTTACGGCCACCTCTCCACAACGGGCCACTTTTTTGTCTCGGCGGACAGTCCATGCATACATTGACTCTTGTTCAAACCTCTCTGCAATGGCCACCTCTCTTAACACTGCAACAGCCACTAAACCGCGTCCCAGCTGCCAAAATAGGCTGATTTAGCAACAGAACGGGAACGTCAGTTGACGACGGCGCGCGCAAATCAAACAAATGGCTTGACCAATGGCAGAGCGGCAAATTGAGCACCGGAAGTCGTGTTTAGTCCTTTCCGCGCGCTTTCCCATCGTCAACTGACGTTCCCGTCCTGTTGCTAAATCAGCCTAATTAGAAAGTAGGGACTTTACGATTCGATGACGCGACGGCAGCGAACGAAAACGTCGCTTCAAAATTGAATTTGCGTTGTTCCAACTCACTTACTTTGTCAAACGTAGGCGAATCCTTCCGGAGTTGAATTTCTAAGAACCATATTCAGGTTTAGAAAGAGAATAAAATTTCGTCGTCGCTTGTTTACGTCCTCTCTAAAAAGTAAAATTAGGCAATTTCACGTCGTAGTCGTGCAAAAGCGGCAAAGAAATGTACAAAAAAGTGAGATGCACGTGCAAAGTTGTTGTTTTGTCTACTAAAGAAAACTTATTGTTGTTTTTGACGTTCTCGTTGCCGTCGCGTCGTGGGATCGCAAAGTCCCTAATAACCTCTCCACAACGGCCATTTTTTCTACAGTGAATTACTAAAAAGTCAAAGAATGGTCATGAAATTTTGATCTGTATGGCGCTTCCATGGTTAATATAATCGCGGCAAGTCATACTTACAGTTCATTTATGATAAAATGTAAATACAGTGTTTTTTTGCAATAAACGTGACATCTGGCTCAATCAGACAAAGGCAATTTTCTTCTGTCCCCAAGGTGGCCGGAGGTTCAACTGCCGTTGTCTTTGCATTTTCTCCAAGAATAAAGTAAAGTAGGGGTCAACACGAACTTAGTTCTGACAAGTTCACAATCATGCCGTGGCATGATGTGGATGTTATTTCTCCAGATTATATTTGGTACTGAAAGAGACTTTCTCGGAGTTACCTCTGATGTAAAATTTTTCTTCATTTTGCATCGTTAAATGTTGAGTTCCACGGGTTAAAGTAGATGCCTTCGGGTGTTATTTATCTAGGTACACAAAGGAAAGGCGGGGAGTGGTGCTGGTGGTGGTGGAGAAAAACAGTTTTACAAATCGATATCTATGTACATATATGTACCCCACCGTATTCCTCTGTAATTTTTTTTTAACATTTTACCTAGATTTCAGGCCTCCAACGCTGTCCTGCCCTGGCCCAACACTTACGGCTGACAACGACAAAGGAAAAAATGTTGCCACTGTAAACTGGATGTTCGACTTTGATGACAATTCGCTGGTTGCAAATGAACCTGGAATAACCAAAAATGATTCTTTTACCGTTGTGCTGACCATAGGTGGCAATAACGTCGATACAAAGCTTCCAAAGCTAATAGGTATAGGAACGAACTCAGTCAAGTATTCTGTTACAGATGCTGCTCATAATACCGCAAATTGCTCATTTACTGTTACGGTTAGAGGTAAGTCAACCGTTTGACTGTTTAGAGTAAGAGGTCCTGGGCCGGGTTGTTCAAAGCTGCGGGTTAAGATAGCCTAGAGTTAGTGCGAAATGTGAATTTAGATATGAAAGCTTAAAACGCGAATTCAGTTTTATTCTTTTTGTCTACAGTTTGACGAGTGGATGCTATGAAAAGAAGAAAAAGAAACCCAGATAAAAAACAAACAAACAAACAAACAATCAAACAAAAACAAAAAAGAAAAAAGTAACTCTAAGTTTTTGGCGCTAATCGGCCTTCGAACAACTCAGGGCCCTGGCTAGTAACTCGCGAATAAACCTATTTAGATATGCCAATTGCAGGCTCTCGATACTTACAACTAATATTCGTTTGTCTTTGTGTGTTTTGTATCTGTCTTTGTTTGCTTGCTTATTTTTTGATGGCCTTGTTGGTTGTTTGTTTTACTGGGCCTGGTTTAGATGGAATAAATAGAACGGAGGGTATGTTCTTCGAGAACAACTAAAAAAATTCTGAGTTCCAGGGGGGAATTGAATACATGCAAGACCAAATGTAAACGTGGTAAACCTAATAGAAATAGTCATTATTCGTGGAATACATTCTTCTTTGCAAGAAGCATTTGAGTTTTGATGCCCCTCGTTCGCAGAAGAGCTCAAAACTTGAGGATAACAGACCATTTTACAAATTTACATTTGCACCCCCCTGACTACTAGATTAATTATGTAAACATTAAAGACTTATGTCATCAGTGTGGACGTTTTGGGGCCGAAATCGCACACTTCTCTCTCGCAAAACGTTCCTAGCTGTGGGAAGCGATAAGCGATGGCTGTATTTGCAGGCTTTAGTTGATGGAAAACTATAGAAATAATGATGTAAAGTGTAAAATTTAAAAGCTCAATTGGGAAATTGTGTCAAGATATTCACACTTTTTATTGTCTTTATTTATTTATTTTTTACTTTACTCAGAGTCTAAAGGCCAGTTATTTAAGCGGAGTTTAGCCAGTGTTTAACAAAACCGCGTTCTAAGCCATTTTCAGTATGCCCAACACTTTTATCTAAACACTGTTTGTCGTGAACAGCTAGTTTCACGGAAACTTATGAGGTACACTAGAGAGACATTTATCCAGTTAAAATAACCCGCTCAGGGAGAGAACAGAGAGAACAGTTCAATAATTTCTTTAACCGCGGTCTATTCAGTTAAGCTTCGTTTGAATAACCGACCCTAAATATCTTATAACGTTTTTGGATTAGTCTAATAGTTCGGGAAATTGCCTTCCTATATATACTTCCCCCCCCCCCTCACCCGCTTTCCCCTACCCCCTTTCCCCCAAACTGAAGGTTAACCTCATAGCCAGAGGCAAAACCCTGTCACCAGACGGTCTTAACCGAAGGAATGAACATTGAACTGTTTCTTCTTCTATTTTTCTTGTATATTCATTTACCTGTATATTATTCTATCTAGTATTTATAATTGTAGTTAATTATTAACCATATATGTTAAATGAAATTCAAATTTCAGGAGCCGTTAAAGATATTTTCTCTCGGTATAGTTCTGGCCCTCTGGAAGGCTAATTTTGTTAGCCAAAATATTGGCCTATACCGATAAATCAGCCCTTTGCCGTAGTACAGCGCTGCATTCAGTTTTGTTTTCTTTCACACTTTAAGTGACGTCTGGCTACAGTATCTCTTTGATTAGAGATCCGGCAAGAGGAACCAGTCAGTTATATTTACGCGTTGCGAGGACCTCTGCATTTAAACAGATCTTTTTTAATTTCTTACTTAGGGCAAAATGTTTGGTGGGGGGTAGGGATAGGAGGGTAATTTGCCAGAGTCACCATATACAGTCGAACCCCGCTATTTCGAACTCGGTTAATTCGAAGTCCCCGCTATTTCAAAGGAAGATCGAATTCCCTTGGATTTACCCTTATGTTTTCAGTCATTTACTATCAGCTATTTCGAACTCGGTTATTTCGAATTCCCCGCTATTTTGAACTCATAGTTCTTTCCCTACACCTTAAATCCGTTTAAATCAACCCCGTTATTTCGAACTTGTCAAAAACAGAGTACGTATATAAGAGCACAGCTGGAAACGTATTGCATTTTATTTGAGCTCGTTTTGCGTAATTAATAACTTAACAATGCTTGACTCACGTGCAGTGTTTCGCTAAGAAATTCCAGCTGTGTTATTCAATTACAAAACAAAACGCACCGTTAGTGAACTGTTCTTCCGGCTGAAATACTCGTGTGTGAACTCTGAATTACTGTATTTTTATTTAATCAGTGTCTTTCTTCATACTGTACTGTATTTTATTAAAAAATGATTCATTGTTACGAATTTTACGCTTCCCCGGTTATTTCGAAACCCCGCTATTTCGAACTTTTTTCCATTTCCCTTGGGACTTCGAAATAGCGGGGTTCAACTGTACTACGTTTTTTGTTTTCTATTTTAGATACCGAGCCACCGACTTGCGGTTTCTGTCCACCTAATAAGTTGATCGACAACGCAACTCTGCCTAACATCCGAGTAAACTGGCCGAGGGCAAATTGTTCTGATAACTCTGGCCAAAATCCCGTGATCACCTCAAACCGACTATCTGGGGATTTGTTTGCAGTGCCCGGTGTTTATGAAGTTGTATACACCGTCACCGATCAGCAAAATAACGTAAACAGAAACTGTTCTTTCAGGATAACACTTAAAAGTAAGTATTTCATTTGTTAGTCTCCTACGTAACCGCGCTTAAAGGCTGGTTTCCACTATCGACGGAGTTGGAGTCGGAATCGTAAGCGAAGTCGTAAGAGCGCTTATGACCTTGTGAAAATCAAAAATCGGAGTCATAAGCGGAGTCACACGCGCATGGAATCGGAGTCGGAAGCCGATCAGAACGTTTCCATATTCTTCCGTCTCCGCTTATGACTCCGTCGTTTACGATCTAGTGATCACAATCAACGTTTATACGTTTTGTGATTTTAATTCTTCCGCTTCAGCTTATAACCCGACAACTTAGTTTTCACTTGATCCTAAACGACGGATTCGTCTGCGGAATCTGGGCGCCGTTTTCTTTCTTCCCGCCCAATGTTTTGGAAAAACTCTGCCACAACTTAAGCCTTTTCTAGGTTTTTTGGTTCCGGTCGAGTTTTCTATCAGAGAAAACATCTCGTAAGCTTTCAAACTTTTGTTTCTAATTCTCCGATAAAATTTGTTGCTTTGCTTTCTGTTTACATTTAACCAGCTTCCTATTCATTTGCCCCGTCCTCCTCAACTTTTCTACGTTCCCTTGTGCAATTGCATTAATTAGTACTCCATCGTGCGTTTAGGTTTTCTGAAGCGTCTTTAAATGCGCAGACATCTTCATTCATAACATTTTAAAATTTCGGCGCCATCTTGGCACCGAGACGTACGGAACGTTGCCATGGCAATTTTGTAATTTCACATGTGAAGTTATAAAATTAGTATAGGAAATTTCGCGCCAAAATTAAGGAGTAATTTGGCACCCATGATATTACAATGTTACTTTTTATTTTTTCGCTCATATTTTTTTTGTTTCCATACCTGTTGTTTGATTAGGTTTATTTATGTTGCAGAGAAGACGTGTCCTCTTTACGCGCCACCAAAAAATGGCGCTTTGGTGTGCAACTACATTGGAGCGGACCCGAGTTGCCAAGTCCAGTGTAAACAGGGTTTTGACTTTGTGTTCACTCCTCCCTTTACCTATTACTGCTCTGGTGGAGTATGGAAACATTTCTCTATCGGTCCGTTCGATCCCAGGCTACCATGGCCAGACTGCGCAAGTAAGTGCGATGAATTTCTAATACATTGCATTAGAACCTCCATGCGCGACCACCTTTCGTAAGCAATTACCTACCATAACGATTACCTACCTGTAAACACCGACAAGCCAAATATATTCACTTTCTTGGTATTTGTTTTTACGACTGCTTCATTAATAGCTCAAATTTCGTTGTCCGAAAATGCCTCGAAGCGAGACGCCATCTTGGCTCCGGTCGCAAAACAGTGAATATCCAAGGATATTCCGAGTTACGGGAGCCAATCAAAACGTGCGAAAAGTGCTATTTACTGATTTGGTAAATACTAAAAGGGAATATTTTATTATTTATTCTTAACAGATACGGTAAACCCTAATAATTTATGGATGAGGAGTTTTCCGTTTTTCCACTTTACTGGAGACTGTAATGATCCTAACACACAAGACGCAATTAAGGGCAACTTTTTGAATCTTATGAACAACGGCCCGGTACTACCCTTATTTTGTAAAGATGTACCCGCACAGTGCAACAAGGATACAGTTCAAGTCTATTGTGGCAATGTTACTGCTGTGGAAAGACGAAGGAAGCGTGCTGCCACCAGGACGGTATGAATTGCATACTATTTAATTCATAGATTTAGCCTAAGGTAAAAGCGAAGCGTCCATTTATATGCTTTTAATTGATTAAAAGCATTAAAAAAAAAACGATTTTATTGCAAAAAGAGAAAATTATAAATCAAATTCGATCACAGTAATAGTCTTGGAAAGAATTCTTACTCATGACCCCCCCTCCCCTCCCTCTCACTCTCTGCTCCACCACACCCCTTTGAGAAGCTTGTAGGCCATGAAATTTAATCTTTTATAAAGGCTGGTTGTTGTTCTCGGAACTCTTTGGTTGCGTCCAGTTCACAGTTTATGTTTATAGGCGATTTTTGTGATTAGAATATGTCTTCTTTGCAAAATGGGACCGACAAACTGTTACGTGTACACTACCCTTTAGATTATACACCACAATATCTGATACTCAGTAACCTTTGCTGTAAGTCGGTTATTAACTTTTTGTTTCTTCTGGCGAAAAGACCCAGGGAGGTTGATAAGTTATTTGACATTTCCTCCTATGAATAACCATAATTTTGCCGTCTTTGTGTGCTGTGTATTTTAATACGGTTAAATCGGCCCTGGACTTAAACTACAAATTATAAACGTAATAACAATAAATAACGTATTCCAAAAACGCGAAAAAAGTAGGATTCTGTCGGTAAAATAATCGACAAAACTTTTATGTACTTTCTTACAATGTGAGTTAATCTGTAAGGCACAAAGCACGCCATGCACCATTTTCAGATATTTCATTTACGCGTCGTGAAAGGAAAAAATCGCTACACAGCACCGTGCAAAATTATGACTGACAATCAAAACGTGAATAAAACATAAATTAAACTGTACAATAACAACACTTTTTGAGCTATTTTGAAAAAATAGCTCATATGTCAGTGGTCTGAGCGTATGTATCTTTGTGGCTTTGTATGTTGGGATGTTTGTTGCAAGAGCCAATAAGGTTGAAGGTACTATGAGTTGATGCTTAGGAACCAATGAGATCTTAGCATCTACTTAAACATGGCATTGGTAAAGGTCGAACAAGGGCACTTTGAGACCGCCATCTTGATTCTTCACAATTTTTTCGTCTTTTATTACGGCTACAGGTGTTTCGAATAATTACATTAAATATCTTCATGATTCAAACGCTGTGTACAGTGATGCAGCTGTTTAAGGGTTCATATTTTAGTACGGATGCTGCTTCAAGGCATTTCTGATCTAATTCGGCTATCGGTACAACGCACGTCAGTATGAGTTCTGTTTGACCTGCTACAACTGGGTAGAGTATAAAAGATCATATATTTTCAAAGCTCTTCCAATGAAGCAATAATTGATATTTAGATATAGACTTTAATTCGAAAGTATGCGCCCTATAAAATGTGGATTTAGAAGTTTAAAAAGGCAGCTTATTTTTGTGAAAGCTGTACCGAGTATTGTTAATCCTGTAAACAAGCTTTAAAAATATTATTCTCTCGCTTACAAAGTTCAACAGACCTTTTTCGTTCTGGCAAACAAAAAAAAAGAATAATAAGTGAACAACATGATACATCCTTCCTGCATACTAAGTATTATAGTTTCTGAAACGTATCTTATTTAGTAAAGATGCGTAACTTAAGTAGAAACAGTAGCGTTAGGGAATAAAATTGGAAGAAGCTAGTTGACACAATAATTAGATACTGTTGTATTGAGTGGAGTAACATGATACAAGTAGAAATATATTTCGGCAGTTTGATAATTTTCTTGGAAGTTAATAAATGTTAGGCTATCGACCTTGACGTTGCATGAAACATAATTTAATTGCAGATGTTGTAATAAAGCCGAGGTAGTTTCTTAAAATCGCTTGAGAAAATTTTGTAGTAAAACAATTTGCCTTTTTTTTACGTACGAATTGTAAAAGGGCCATAGACCAACATCTTCACATGCAAATTGTGTGCATGAGTTATTTTTATAATTCTGTTTACTAGATTACTGTGTAATAACTCGAATTCCCTCACGTACGAACCACGAAAGGGGGCAAAGTCCAACACTTTCACGTGCCAGCTGTGTGACTGTACATCTCATGCAGATTGGCTTTTCACAATGATAAATAGTAACTTGGACGTATGAAGACCTGTTTCGTTTTGTAACCAATGCCTTAAAAAAGGCTCTTGTCTTTTAAGAAGCAATAGCTTTTAAAACATGAAGAAATAAGTTGTCGGAGTTAAAGACTGTCTCACAAATGTTAATAAATGTTAGGTTATCAACCTTGACGTTGCATGAAACATAATTTGATTGCAGATGTTGTAATGAAGCCGAGGTAATTTCTTAAAATCGTTTGAGAAAATTTTGTAGTAAACAATTTGCCTTTTTTTTTTTACGTACGAATTGTAAAAGGGCCAAAGACCAACATCTTCACGTGCAAATTGTGTGCAAGAGTTATTTTTATAATTCTGTTTACTAGTTTACTGTGTGATAACTGGAATTCCCTCACGTACGAACCACGAAAGGGGGCAAAGTCCATCACTTTCACGTGCCAGCTGTGTGACTGTACATCTCATGCAGATTGGCTTTTCACAATGATAAATAGTAAATTGGACGTATGAAGACCTGTTTCGTTTTGTAACCAATGCCTTAAAAAAGGCTCTTGTGTTTTAAGAAGCAATAGCTTTTAAAACATGAAGAAATAAGTTGTCGGAGTTAAAGACTGTTTCACTGAGTAGAATCGCACGTGAAAACCTCGTGAATTATGATGATGCAATCATCTACCACAATGATAAAAATCCTGGTATTTCGTAACTATTCAGTATTCGATGAGTCACATTTTGGCTTAAGAAACTCCCAGGAAACCTTAAAGTTTTCCTTCTAATCAACGTTTGGTGAGTAGAAATTTATTTTACGTTAACAATTTGTTTAACTTGTACCAGATGTAACAGGGAAAGACAGAGGAAAGAGAATATATAGGTTGAGGATCGACTCAGCTGAGCGTTTCGCGTTTTCATTTATGCGGCGCAATACCCAATTTCGCACAAAAACCAAATCTACATTTAGGATGAAAAAGATCGATTCATCACTCTTGGTAAGGTTACTCCGAATTATTATAGTTACACTGAAGCATTCAAAATAGCTCATGCACGTTTAACGTGCCTATGTTTATTCAAGACAGCAAGAAGAGTTTCCGAAAACCTTTTCGTTTTCCTGAGTGTTTGTTTGTTTGTTTGTTTTAGCCGGTTTGTGAGGCTTAGCAAGAATTTTGTTAATTATTTTAACTCTCCGGCAGTCACTAGAAGTGGGTATTCGCTATTAAACACTTTCTCTTTCCATTTGCAACCAGAAAATCATTTAAGCTTGTGTAAGCTTATATTGAACTCGAGGCCACTGACATCAATTCTTCATGACACGTCATGACATGAAATAATTACGCCTGACTTTACAACAAAACTCAAACGAGACAAAAGTGTAAAAAATACTCAGACTCACCTTGGTTGCAGCTCCTGAAAGTGAGTAAGTGAGTCCCAAAACATTTCCTGTACTCTGCTGAAAGAAGCCTGCATGTTGGACTTGAATTCCGTGGCGAAGCCCTCCGCAAACGAAATTAACAACGAACACAAGAAACTTCAGTTTACCAAATTTCTGGTATCGATAAGTTTCCATTTTCCTTTAGGTATGCTGGGCTTTCCGCGCGCAAGTAGCTCCGCTATTAACCTCGTCCGTACAGTCATTACAGGGAAATCTCAGACCGAGACGTACAATAGGCCTTGATATACTGACCGAGGGATAGCGAGGTCAATACATCAAGGCCTTTGTCTGAGATTTCCCTGTAATCATCGAACGGACGAGGTTAATACGCTATTTATTATATGGCCTGTTTAACGCTATTTTTAAAATGGTTATACAATAAAAAACACCGGAAAAAATTTTCAACATCTGCGCCTAAGAGGTCGTTTGAGGTCGTGTTCAC